CTTTTAAGATTATACTTTTAAATGAATTTAATTTGAATAAACCTCTGAAAAGCAGACTAGCATTGCATACGCTGTGACATAATTGTGCCCCAGAGGCTCATCTGGCATGTAACTCCTCCGTCTCTGTGCGGGTCTGAAGCTTCATCTCACCCTGTAGCTTATCACTGAAGGATCTGGGAGGGCTTTGTTTGTTTATCACAACTTAAACTATTTGCTTTTTGAATTGTTTTTTATCATTGCATAGATCTAGATTCTACTACTTCTTCAGTTCTATGAAAATGTAAGGAGTTTTTTTTATAATTATAGATGTAATTTATATATAAAATTTATATTTATAAATATATTAATTAAGATAAAACTATGTTTAATTTGTATGAATACATTTTAGTAGCATATGTGTTATTATTCATTGAGTTATATACTTTATTTATAATAATTTAATTTTAAAATAGAGATTTTATGGAGCCGCAAAACACCTTAGAAATTATATTAAATTACTTATTTTTATTTATTTTGAAAATGTAAAAATGCAGCTTTCAGGTGTACACGGTAGAATATGCTGTTACAGTACAAAAATCATTACGGCTATATTAATAAAAATTATACTTTAGGTCACTGTTAAACAAAATCCTTACAGTAATCTTCTAAAAGATAAATAGACGATACGAATGTATTAAAACTATAAAGATTTCATTTAAACCATCTTTTCATTTTAAAATATTTAAACTTTTACAATTATGATTTGAAATAATCTTAGTACGAACAAAATTTTGGCTCTGGAAAGGTGTTAGCAGTGTTAGTGTAGTTACACGATGCACAGAGACTCATCTGCTCTGTCACCCTCTATCCTGAAGCTAATGGGGGCTGGCCTGAGGCATCACAGATTCTAAATGTCTTCATTGGTGCTGTCGCACTATAGGCCTATGTGGTGATTTTCGCACAGATACTACTTGAGGAATTATTGAACATTTCACACAATGTGTGAGATGACTTGTGAGACCCCCAAATTTCAAAGTTCTTTACATGTACCCTGATAAATAAAAAATATAGTCAAGTTTTTCCACGATGTAGCATATTTGTTTTATGAATTAATTTAATTTAAAATATCTTGTATTTTTAAAAGATATAATTTAAACTTTTAATGATTATACTATGAAATAAGATTAACACTAATCGAACACATGCAATGTCTCGTTCTGACCGCTGAAAAGACACACACACACACACACACAGACAATGCATGCCTGTCAAGCGAGGGGGAGAGAGAATTACTTGTGGGATCTTTTCAACTTTAAATGTATGGACATCTTAGGAACTACTTCGTCAACCGGCTGGAAAAAGTAAGATGATTTTATTTTTGACACCCGTTCATAACCTGTATGTATTCTTCTAATCTATAAAACATGTCGGATGATTTTTATCTAAAATAATAACTTTAGTTATTTATTTAAAAAATTAACGATAAAAGCATTTTATTAATATACTTTTAAATGAAAAATGTTTTTCAACTTAAGTTAGTGTGAAATAATATATTTGTAAATTACTAGATGTAAATTTTATAACCATTTCATTTATATAGAGCATAATGTTTTTCAACTTTAGTGTGAAATATATGATACATATTGTCCTCACTTGGAGGGGTCTCATGTAACACACACACACACACACACACACACACACACAGATAAGCCCGCGCCCGGGCCCCCTGACTTAGAGGTTTTCAGGATTCAGAGATGTTTTAACGTTAGGACAGTCACTGATATGTTCACCAGCTGTATTTTTCAAAGCGTAATAAAATGATAATGGCATCTGTTTCTCAGGCTCATTGCCCAGTACATAAACAAACACACATACACACAACACCCCCGGTCAAGCGTGCAGGGAAGTGAAATAGTTAAGGTGAAAAACACATGTTTTTTCAACATGGTGAAATAGATGGTTTTATCTGCTTTATATAATTTTAAATGAACAATGTTATTTTGCCCCACTGTCACACACACACACACACACACACACACAGACACTAACAGACACAATGGCAGCTCTGTGCTCTTTTTGTATTACAACTAGGATGATATTGTATATTTTATAAGCATTTCATTTATATAGTTTTAAAGATCAATGTAACTTTAGTTATTTAGTAAGATATTTATTTTATAAACATTTCATTTATATAGTTTTAAAGATCAATATTTTTCAACTCTAGCCAGTGTGAAATATACAACATTATATCTCTTTTTCTCACTCCCAGCAATGAGCTCAGGAATGTGGTGATATCGTGCACGTTCAGAGAGCCTGTCATATGCCTGTGTGATCGGGTGAAACACTCCTGGAAACATTATGGGATTTTTACAACTTAAATGTGTGGACATCTTAGAGCTTTTTTCAACCTGCTGAAAAAGTAAGATCATTTTTTATTTCATCTCTCTAAAACATAATGATTGATGTATGATTTTTATGTCTTTTGTGGTTTTTAAAATATCTGGATCAGTAAGATGTGTATTTATTTTATTTTAATATTTAATTTATATACTTTTAAAGAAGTGAATGCTTTTCAACTTCAGTAATTTAATAAGATTTTTTAATGAACAGGATGTTAGTGTTAAATATTTTATAAACATTTCATTTATATAGTTTTAAAGATCAATGTAACTTTAGTTATTTAGTAAGATATTTATTTTATAAACATTTCATTTATATCGTTTTAAAGATCAATGTAGCTTTAGTTATTTAGTAAGATATTTATTTTATAAACATTTCATTTATATAGTTTTAAAGATCAATGTAACTTTAGTTATTTAGTAAGATATTTATTTTATAAACATTTCATTTATATAGTTTTGAAGATCAATGTAACTTTAGTTATTTAGTAATATATTTATTTTATAAACATTTCATTTATATAGTTTTAAAGATCAATGTTTTTCAACTCTAGCCAGTGTGAAATATACAACATTATTAGAAAATCTCTTTTTCTCACTCCCAGCAATGAGCTCAGGAATGTGGTGATATCATGTGTCACATTCAGAGACACTGACAGATGCTGGTGAGAGAGAATCAACTCGGGGGATTTTTACAACTTAAATGTGTGGACATCTTAGAGCTTTTTTCAACCGGCTGAAAAAGTAAGATCATTTTATTTCATCGCTCTAAAACATGTTGAATGATTTCTGTTTTGAAATGATTGGTTCTGTTAGGTATTTATTTTGAATGAACAATGTTATTTTGCCCGACTGTCACACAGACACAAACAGCCACAACCACAGACACACACACACACACACACACACACACACACACTGCAATCTTTTTTAGTTAAAAGATATTTTATACACTTTTAAGAGATATTTGTGGGAGGGATCGTGTCACACGATCTGTGATCTTTTTTAGCATTGTGAGAGTGGGTGGGAGGGAACCCCGGATTTCAAAAAACATCTGGCACCATCAAACCCAAAACAATGACATATTTATACACCTCGGTCAAAGAGTCAAATCATCCATCAAAACAACCTGTCAAAACTTTCTGTCAACCAAATGATCGAACGCTCATTAGGGCAAAGGTTAATCCAATCCCGGAAACGGGAAGGGCTAGGTCAAAGGTTAATCCATCAACCCCGGAAAACGGGAGGGGTAGGTCAAAGGTTAATCCATGACCCCGGAAACAGGAAGGGCAAGGGGAGGGGCAAGGTCAAAGGTCACCATCAATCATTTTGACACAAGCTGTAGGGTAATAACTACTGACCCCCATCTGTATGCTTACAGGAAGAACTGGTCTGCATCGGCTGCAGTTTCATCGGTCAGCCACTCTGCAATTGTCCCGCAGACTCTAGTCAATAAACTACTGCTGCTTGGATTGAAACCATCACTTTGTTGCTTTGTTAATTAATAGGCCACAGACTGTTAAAGTCCATGGCATTTCATCTTCACCTATCATCCTTAACACCGGCTCCCCCCAGGGATGTGTCCTGAGCGGTACACACTATTATCATATGACTGCTCGGCTAAATATCCGGGCAATCATATTGTGAAGTTTGCTGATGACACAGTTGTGATGGGATTGATATCCCACAACTATGAGTCCTTATACAGACAGGAGGTGAAAGAACTTGTGGACTGGTGTAGAGTAAACAACCTCTGTGGGGAAGACGAAGGAGATGGTCGTGGACTTTAAGAGGAGAGGTTTCACCCCCTCTCTACTCTTCTTTGGAGGAACAGCTGTGGAAATGGTCTCTGGTTTCAAGCATATTAGGGTTGACACAGCCAGCATTATAAAAAAAGGCTCATCAACGCCTATTTTCTTAGGCGGTTGAAGCAGGCTGGTCTCGTCACTCCAGCTCTAGTAGCATTTCACGGGTGTGTGGTGGAGAGTACACTCACCTTTTCTATCACTGCCTGGTACGGGAACTGTTCTGCTGCTGACAAGAAGGCATTGCAGAGGGTGGTCAAATCTAATAACTCAACAAAAAAAAAACTCATAGCAGCCTCCATCCACCCAGCAAACGAACAGTTCAACCCCCTCCTCGCCTCAGGCAGGAGGCTAAGAAGCATTAAACCCAGAACAACAAGGCTCAAATGCAGCTTCTTTCCAGAGGCTGTAAGACTGATGAACTCCCTGCCTTAGTGACTGATCTCTCCTTATATCTCATTATGCTGTGCTGCTTTGTCTGTTGCTCTGGATTAATATGCTATGATGCACTGCTTGCTTAGTTATTTATTGTTATTGTTTTTTAAATATTCTATTAAATTATTAAATATATTTTATATAGATTAATAAGTATACTGTAAAAAATGTATTTCTAATTGTTAGTCAATGTTAGTTAATTAACTAATGGGACCTTATTGTAAAGTGTTACCAATAAATCTGTATATACATTTTTTTATTATTATAAAAGCACAAGTTTCCAAGACAGTTTAACGTGACCTTCTTATATGATTTAATCATTTATATATGATTATGTTTTGAAAACGTTTTTCATGTATTAATTCTCCTGTTCTTCAAGGACTAAACCATCTTCCTCCAGCCGATAAAATGGATAAAATAATTGAGAAGGACATAAAAGCAAATTTAAAAAGGTAATAATTTATTTACCTCGATGGTAATTCCAAATAGGTTTTGGTTTGACAAATAATCTATGTTCGTTTTGAAATCTCTGCTATCTCTCTACAGTTACCCCTGTCCTAAGCTGGCTGCCCTTCAAGTGGACTATATCCCTTACCTAGACACAATAGCAAAGGAAGTGGGCGTCTGTCCCAACATTGCCTGGCTGCTCCTGAGGGACCCTGCTGTGGGACTGAGGGCTTTCTTCGGCCCCTGTACTCCCTACCAGTTTCGGCTAAGCGGACCAGGGTATTGGAGAGGTGCCCGTCAAGCTATTCTTACCCAATGGGAACGTGTGGCCAAACCCATGAAGACACGGCCCATTCCAGAACCTCCATCCTTCAGTTTGTTCTTTTGGCTGGGCCTGTCAGGAGGGGCTGCAGTGATTTTTGCCATTATGACAATGCAAAAGAAGATCCCACTCTCCCTGAGAAACCCATCTGTTTCTTGTATCCCATAGAAAACCCATATTTGATTTTTGGGTAGCTCTGTTTTGAATTTGCACTTCTTTAACCTTATTATTTAATTCTTGGAACTCATTATCATTTATAATACCCGTTATATTTTAAATCTTTAAAACTTTTTAAAATTAAAATGAAACTTTACCTTTGTGGTCTAAATGTGTCTTTTTTGTCTTCTTATATCTGTCATAACAAGTGCTCTGCCAAATTCCCAAATAATCATCTTTTTGATAGAAATAGTGTTATCTTTTGACAATCATCACATAAGTAAAGTAGCAGCATTTTATTATTCTTTTAATATATACTTTTAAATAAAACAATCGCTGGAGAAGCCTGAGTCTGGCAATAGTGTCATTTCGTGATGATGAACAGCTCAAAAAGACGAAGACTCTTATGCAGTAGGCTATTTATAAAGAATTATAGATGTTGTAGTCATTATCAATGTCTAGGTCTATCAATTTTAATTTAAAATTTTGATAAAAGAAAGGTAAACACGTTTACAACAGTTTTAATGTGACCTTCGTATAGGCTAACATAAATTAATAATAATAAGTTTAATTTATATAGCGCCTTTCCCAAGCTCAAGGACGCTTCACAATAACAATAACAGTAAACAGTAAAGAACAAACAATCAGTTAACACATAAATGGACAATAGACATTTGCCCAGTCCAAGAAAATGAGCGATTGCAGGTGCATATGGCATTACATTTGGAATACAGACTAAACAAAACCAGGAACAAAAAGAACACTATTTCCAGACAGCATGGAAGGTGCGGGCATGTTGAAGTAAAGATGCAAAAGAATAATGGTATAATTAACATTATGACTGTAATACAGAGTTGTGAATAAAAAAATAAAAAAACATGTCATGACTGATAATACTGTTGAAACAAATGAGTTTTGAGTTTAGACTTAAATTAATGCAGCTTGGTTGTTGTCCTAAGAGCCAGGGGAAGAGAGTTCCATAGCTTAGGGCTATAACGGAAAAAGACCTGCCACCCATAGATGAAAGACGAAATCTCGGCTCACAGAAGAGTTCACAGCCAGAAGATCGGAGAGTTCGAGGGGGAATATAAGGAGAAAGTAAGTCAGAGTGAGAGATAGGAAGGAGCATGTAATAATATGTATTCCTTGGGACATGAAAGTGCTAGAAAACCCAAATATAATTTCCATACAATAGCCTAAGCATGGAGTATTTTCATGCATCTATGCACGTCTACACAAAAAAACAGTAGCCTATATAGAAGTTTACAATGTACGACTACGATCCAACACTTAATATTTGTTAACCTTATTTAACTAATTCAACGTTATTGACCAGATTAACGGCCATGAATCCCCGCCTCTTTTATCTCTACAGTATGGGGTGTGGTGAGAAGTGTTTGTGTGGAGTGAACAACATCTATAAACTTCTGCGGTCACTGCTTCAACTGCTTCACGCTCGGTGAGATGGTTCTCCACAAACTTTTTATTGACACTAATATAATATCACTCCATTGTCGTTTTTACGGGACAGGCGTGTTTACGTAACGAGCTGTTTGTTTTTCCGAATCTGACTCGATTTATTTGTCCGTACAGTATGTTCTTGTTGTTAGAGCTTTAGCTAGTCGATTTCACAAATACAGACGGTTACACGCCGCAGTAAAAGATAGTTTGTGTGGTTTGAAATACAGATTTCCTATGTTTATAACACCGAGGTGTGCTGGCTTGTGAATTATGTCATTCTTAAAAAGTGTCAAAAGTGACAAGTTCAACCCAGCAATTTACGTCTGTGGCACGTTGCATTTCTTCTACGGCAACGTCGCCTCGCAACATTGTAGCAACGTAGAATTGTAAGAGATGACAGTTTATCATGTTGCGCGATATTCAGCAACTGAGAGACGACGTTCTGACAATTGTTTATGCTAGATATCCCCCATTTGGCATGTTATGTTTTGTGGTTCATTTTTAATTAGTCAGATGTTAGATAAGTATATACATTTTAAATATTGTTTATCCGTATTATTAGTTATGGGCCTAACACACTTTGGAGAGTAAAAATGACATTAAGGGTTAGCTAATTCTTTATTAAAACTGCATATAATCAAATTGCACTTCCAAAAGTCATACATTTATGGAAAAAAAGAAAAAAAACTAAATATACGAATACACCAAAACAACCTGTCAAAACTTTCTGTCAACCAAATGATCGAACGCTCATTAGGGCAAAGGTTAATCCATCAATCCCGGAAACGGGAAGGGCTAGGTCAAAGGTTAATCCATCAACCCCGGAAAACGGGAGGGGTAGGTCAAAGGTTAATCCATGACCCCGGAAACAGGAAGGGCAAGGGGAGGGGCAAGGTCAAAGGTCACCATCAATCATTTTGACACAAGCTGTAGGGTAATAACTACTGACCCCCATCTGTATGCTTACAGGAAGAACTGGTCTGCATCGGCTGCAGTTTCATCGGTCAGCCACTCTGCAATTGTCCCGCAGACTCTAGTCAATAAACTACTGCTGCTTGGATTGAAACCATCACTTTGTTGCTTTGTTAATTAATAGGCCACAGACTGTTAAAGTCCATGGCATTTCATCTTCACCTATCATCCTTAACACCGGCTCCCCCCAGGGATGTGTCCTGAGCGGTACACACTATTATCATATGACTGCTCGGCTAAATATCCGGGCAATCATATTGTGAAGTTTGCTGATGACACAGTTGTGATGGGATTGATATCCCACAACTATGAGTCCTTATACAGACAGGAGGTGAAAGAACTTGTGGACTGGTGTAGAGTAAACAACCTCTGTGGGGAAGACGAAGGAGATGGTCGTGGACTTTAAGAGGAGAGGTTTCACCCCCTCTCTACTCTTCTTTGGAGGAACAGCTGTGGAAATGGTCTCTGGTTTCAAGCATATTAGGGTTGACACAGCCAGCATTATAAAAAAAGGCTCATCAACGCCTATTTTCTTAGGCGGTTGAAGCAGGCTGGTCTCCTCACTCCAGCTCTAGTAGCATTTCACGGGTGTGTGGTGGAGAGTACACTCACCTTTTCTATCACTGCCTGGTACGGGAACTGTTCTGCTGCTGACAAGAAGGCATTGCAGAGGGTGGTCAAATCTAATAACTCAACAAAAAAAAAACTCATAGCAGCCTCCATCCACCCAGCAAACGAACAGTTCAACCCCCTCCTCGCCTCAGGCAGGAGGCTAAGAAGCATTAAACCCAGAACAACAAGGCTCAAATGCAGCTTCTTTCCAGAGGCTGTAAGACTGATGAACTCCCTGCCTTAGTGACTGATCTCTCCTTATATCTCATTATGCTGTGCTGCTTTGTCTGTTGCTCTGGATTAATATGCTATGATGCACTGCTTGCTTAGTTATTTATTGTTATTGTTTTTTAAATATTCTATTAAATTATTAAATATATTTTATATAGATTAATAAGTATACTGTAAAAAATGTATTTCTAATTGTTAGTCAATGTTAGTTAATTAACTAATGGGACCTTATTGTAAAGTGTTACCAATAAATCTGTATATACATTTTTTTATTATTATAAAAGCACAAGTTTCCAAGACAGTTTAACGTGACCTTCTTATATGATTTAATCATTTATATATGATTATGTTTTGAAAACGTTTTTCATGTATTAATTCTCCTGTTCTTCAAGGACTAAACCATCTTCCTCCAGCCGATAAAATGGATAAAATAATTGAGAAGGACATAAAAGCAAATTTAAAAAGGTAATAATTTATTTACCTCGATGGTAATTCCAAATAGGTTTTGGTTTGACAAATAATCTATGTTCGTTTTGAAATCTCTGCTATCTCTCTACAGTTACCCCTGTCCTAAGCTGGCTGCCCTTCAAGTGGACTATATCCCTTACCTAGACACAATAGCAAAGGAAGTGGGCGTCTGTCCCAACATTGCCTGGCTGCTCCTGAGGGACCCTGCTGTGGGACTGAGGGCTTTCTTCAGCCCCTATACTCCCTACCAGTTTCGGCTAAGCGGACCAGGGTATTGGAGAGGTGCCCGTCAAGCTATTCTTACCCAATGGGAACGTGTGGCCAAACCCATGAAGACACGGCCCATTCCAGAACCTCCATCCTTCAGTTTGTTCTTTTGGCTGGGCCTGTCAGGAGGGGCTGCAGTGATTTTTGCCATTATGACAATGCAAAAGAAGATCCCACTCTCCCTGAGAAACCCATCTGTTTCTTGTATCCCATAGAAAACCCATATTTGATTTTTGGGTAGCTCTGTTTTGAATTTGCACTTCTTTAACCTTATTATTTAATTCTTGGAACTCATTATCATTTATAATACCCGTTATATTTTAAATCTTTAAAACTTTTTAAAATTAAAATGAAACTTTACCTTTGTGGTCTAAATGTGTCTTTTTTGTCTTCTTATATCTGTCATAACAAGTGCTCTGCCAAATTCCCAAATAATCATCTTTTTGATAGAAATAGTGTTATCTTTTGACAATCATCACATAAGTAAAGTAGCAGCATTTTATTATTCTTTTAATATATACTTTTAAATAAAACAATCGCTGGAGAAGCCTGAGTCTGGCAATAGTGTCATTTCGTGATGATGAACAGCTCAAAAAGACGAAGACTCTTATGCAGTAGGCTATTTATAAAGAATTATAGATGTTGTAGTCATTATCAATGTCTAGGTCTATCAATTTTAATTTAAAATTTTGATAAAAGAAAGGTAAACACGTTTACAACAGTTTTAATGTGACCTTCGTATAGGCTAACATAAATTAATAATAATAAGTTTAATTTATATAGCGCCTTTCCCAAGCTCAAGGACGCTTCACAATAACAATAACAGTAAACAGTAAAGAACAAACAATCAGTTAACACATAAATGGACAATAGACATTTGCCCAGTCCAAGAAAATGAGCGATTGCAGGTGCATATGGCATTACATTTGGAATACAGACTAAACAAAACCAGGAACAAAAAAGAACACTATTTCCAGACAGCATGGAAGGTGCGGGCATGTTGAAGTAAAGATGCAAAAGAATAATGGTATAATTAACATTATGACTGTAATACAGAGTTGTGAATAAAAAAATAAAAAAACATGTCATGACTGATAATACTGTTGAAACAAATGAGTTTTGAGTTTAGACTTAAATTAATGCAGCTTGGTTGTTGTCCTAAGAGCCAGGGGAAGAGAGTTCCATAGCTTAGGGCTATAACGGAAAAAGACCTGCCACCCATAGATGAAAGACGAAATCTCGGCTCACAGAAGAGTTCACAGCCAGAAGATCGGAGAGTTCGAGGGGGAATATAAGGAGAAAGTAAGTCAGAGTGAGAGATAGGAAGGAGCATGTAATAATATGTATTCCTTGGGACATGAAAGTGCTAGAAAACCCAAATATAATTTCCATACAATAGCCTAAGCATGGAGTATTTTCATGCATCTATGCACGTCTACACAAAAAAACAGTTGCCTATATAGAAGTTTACAATGTACGACTACGATCCAACACTTAATATTTGTTAACCTTATTTAACTAATTCAACGTTATTGACCAGATTAACGGCCATGAATCCCCGCCTCTTTTATCTCTACAGTATGGGGTGTGGTGAGAAGTGTTTGTGTGGAGTGAACAACATCTATAAACTTCTGCGGTCACTGCTTCAACTGCTTCACGCTCGGTGAGATGGTTCTCCACAAACTTTTTATTGACACTAATATAATATCACTCCATTGTCGTTTTTACGGGACAGGCGTGTTTACGTAACGAGCTGTTTGTTTTTCCGAATCTGACTCGATTTATTTGTCCGTACAGTATGTTCTTGTTGTTAGAGCTTTAGCTAGTCGATTTCACAAATACAGACGGTTACACGCCGCAGTAAAAGATAGTTTGTGTGGTTTGAAATACAGATTTCCTATGTTTATAACACCGAGGTGCGCTGGCTTGTGAATTATGTCATTCTTAAAAAGTGTCAAAAGTGACAAGTTCAACCCAGCAATTTACGTCTGTGGCACGTTGCATTTCTTCTACGGCAACGTCGCCTCGCAACATTGTAGCAACGTAGAATTGTAAGAGATGACAGTTTATCATGTTGCGCGATATTCAGCAACTGAGAGACGACGTTCTGACAATTGTTTATGCTAGATATCCCCCATTTGGCATGTTATGTTTTGTGGTTCATTTTTAATTAGTCAGTTAGATAAGTATATACATTTTAAATATTGTTTATCCGTATTATTAGTTATGGGCCTAACACACTTTGGAGAGTAAAAATGACATTAAGGGTTAGCTAATTCTTTATTAAAACTGCATATAATCAAATTGCACTTCCAAAAGTCATACATTTATGGAAAAAAAGAAAAAAAACTAAATATACGAATACACAAATTTATTTTAAGTATAATAAATAAAACATAAAAAGCAAAGACAGATCAGAACAACGTTTAATGAACAGGCACAGGTAAACTTGGCAGAGAACAAAGCAAACCGGAGCTTCGCATGACAGGACTGTACAGGGAGTAGGCTACTATATGAGCAGACATAACAGCATAAATAGCAGACAAATCAAAGGAAAAATTAACAGGTGTGCGTGCAGTTAATTTTTTTTTCTCTGAGCGTTTTCAAAAAAGGAAAAAATATTAACGTGCAACTAAGTTACGCGCTTGTCCAGTCCGAAATCGGCGTTCGCGACTTGACCTGCTAGATTTGTGATATTTCGCAGTACAGTTTTGATCAGTCAACCTTTCCCCGAGTGCCTAACTTCACTATTATGATTGGTGAAAATTTTTCCAGTGCATTCGGTCACAAATTTTCACACTGTTTTTGGTCTGGGTGCCTAACTTCACTATTAAGATTGGTGAAAAATGTCACAGTGCAGTTTTGGTCAGTTAACCCTTCCCTGAGTTCCTAACTTCACTATTCTGATTTGTGAAACCTTTCACAAATCATAACATATATATATATATATATATATATATATATATATATATATATATATATAATGTATTATGAATAGGTCTGCATAAAATGCTGGCTATGAAATAAAATTTCGCATGACAATTTTTTTTAAGAACTCATTTCTACCATAGAGTGCTATGCAGAATTTGAGATTTGATGGAAATAACACTGATGGATAGTTTCATGCTTTGGAATAATTACAAAAATCGATTTTTTTATATCCTCTGCATCTGCCAAAAGTCTAACAGTTGTGGATCATCATGGCTAAACGTGTTGCTGTGATTGGAGGAGGAACCTCTGGGCTGACCTGCATCAAATGCTGCCTGGATGAAGGCCTGGAGCCAGTGTGTTTTGAGACCAGTGATGACATTGGAGGTCTTTGGAGGTTTAAGGTGAGATATGTCTATATGATTGGGTACACTGAAATTTTACATACTGTATGAATAAAATAAGGTGTCCAAGCACTGAACCCTGAGGCACAGTTCATTGCATGCAGACCATCAATAAACACGATGCTGCGAGAAACTGATGCAGTTTGCTTCTTGTCTTTGTATCTTAGGAAAATCCAGATCCAGATCGTGCTAGTATTTACTACTCATTGATTATCAACACTTCAAAGGAGATGATGTGCTACAGTGATTTCCCCATCCCTGCCCACTTCCCAAACTACATGCACAACTCCCTCATCATGGACTACTTCCGAATGTACGCTGAGCACTTCCAGCTCAAACGGCACATCCGTTTCCAGGTCTGGCCTGAAAGCTTATGTGAACTGTGAAGTTAGAAATATACTGTACCTCATATATACTGTATCTTAGGTTTTGGGGTTTTTCTAAAGGTTCAGAAATTCATGTTTTGTGTTTCTTAGACAAAAGTCCTTCATGTTAACCCAAGGCCAGACTTCCCTCACTCTGGTCAGTGGGATGTAGAGACGGAGTCCAAGGATGGTCGGAGAGAGAAACAGGTGTTTGATGCTGTGATGGTCTGCACCGGTCACCACTGTCACCCTCACCTCCCTCTAAAGGACTTTCCAGGTGTAGTACATGTGATGATTAAGCAAACACAGTCTATGTGCAAAGTGCAACAACATAAAGTCAATAAAAGCCAAACTGGGACACTCATAGTGAACTTTAGTTGTACAAGAGTTATTAGGGCTTATACAGCTCTTGTACAACTTTTGTAGCATTAAGCAGAATCTCAGGCAGAAATATTGTTTATAATTAGTAAGTTTACAAGGTTTTGCAAAGAATGATTCAACAAGCTTTTAAAATTATTCAATAAGTTAATGATTTTACTAATTTGTTAATTTTGATGTTTACAATAATATACAAAATATGGGTAACGCTTTAGATTACAGCCCGGAAAGTACTGAGTAATTAAAGCGATTTTACAGCGTTACCTTCGGTAATTATAGTGTACCTATAACGTGCTTACAATATAAGTATAAGGGAACAGTATTTTAAGTTTGGGGAATAAAGGGGTAACATATAAAAATATTTATACTGTAAGTATTAGAGAACTAAGGGGTTCTTATTCTACTTTTATGATATAACAATCTTACATTTGGGAGCAATTTAGCAAGAACATACCTTTTAGAAATAATGGTGAACCAGCATACTGTATAGGCTTTTTAAAAATGACAGGGTACATATCTATGCATTTATAAAGTAATCTTTTTAACAAAAGTGCACTGAAAACGAAAACTATTGCAACTTTTGCTTAAATATTGGGGAAAGATACTCTTGTTTCATGTAGTGGTACTTGTTACCCTCTTGTTCCATGTAGTTACAGGGTAAGTGTGACATTGCGGGCCGTAAATTAAAGTAGTTCTCGTTACCCTCTTGTTACAGGGTATGTGTGACATTGCGTTTCTAAGGGGTAAATTAAACATTGCATTTCATTGGCTGTAAATTAAAGTGGTGCTTGTTACCCTCTTGTTCCATGTAGTTACAGGGTAAGTGTGACATTGCGGGCTGTAAATTAAAGTGGTTCTTGTTACCCTCTTGTTCCATGTAGTTACAGGGTAAGTACAGTAAAAATACATACACAATCTTATATCACTGACTCGGAAACCTTTATTTATTATACAAGCACCACTTACCCTGTAACCACATGAAACCAGATATATTTCCCAGTATATTAAAAAGAAATTGCAATAGTCTTAGCTTTTCTTGCATTGAAACATGTTAGCCCAAACTTAAACATATGCACTTTTGCTATCAAAAAAAAAAAAAATAGATATGTACCCTGTCATTTTTAAAAAGCCTATACAGTATGTATTGCCTTGGTACACAATTATTACAAAAAGGTACGCAGTGTATGTTCTCGCTAAATTGCTCCCAAATGTAAGATTGTTGTATCATAATAGTAATAGTATCCGGCATTTCCGGCGCTTGCTCTGCTGCGACGACACACAGTCAGTCAATGTTCCATGGCGGCGTCACATCTCTGTCTACTGTCGGTTTGTTTTGTACCAGTGTGTCTAGCGTTTGTCTTGAGAAGTTCTCACTAGTGTCTGCGTCTTTATCCACCCATCGTTTTACTGATTGTCAAGAATGAGGGACTTACACACACTCATCGCGATCGCGCTCATAACATCACTCCCACCGGAGATCAAACCAAGGCGAAGAGGCAGACGAGGAGGCGTAAGAACTAGACTCCGAAAGCGTCCCTTCAGGCCCCCCCTCCCTTCCATCATACTAGCGAACATTCGTTCGCTCAGGAACAAAATGGACCTGCTGCACGCCAAGTGCTCCATGGAGAGAGGCTACAGGGATGCCTGCATCATCGCGCTCACCGAAACCTGGCTGGATGAAGAGGTCCCGGAGTCCGAGGTCAGCCTTGATCATTTCACCATCCTAAGAGCTGACAGGACCCATCAGTCAGGCAAAGTGAGAGGTGGTGGGATCTGCATCTATGTCAACAACAGATGGTGTGATAACATCAAGATCCACAACAAGATCTGCACACCAGATGTGGAGATGATGACGTTGAGCCTGCGTCCCTTCCACCTCCCGAGAGAATTCCAGACGGTGGTTGTCACCTGTGTTTACATCTGCCCGAGCGCCAACGCTAGGGTAGCAGCAGAACTAGTAGCCGACAACGCTAACAACATGCTAGCCGCCTACCCGGAGGCTCCAGCGTTTATCCTGGGTGATTTTAACAACGGCAGACTCAACGATGTTCTGCCATCCTTCCACCAGTTCGTGGATGTTCCAACGAGGAAGGAGAACACTCTGGACTTGTGCTATGGCAATGTTGCTGATGCCTTTACCGTACGTGCCTTCCCGCCACTCGGTTTCTCTGACCACAACGTCATCTTCCTCCTCCCGCAGTACAAACCGGAACTGAAACGGATCAAACCAACAACCCACAGCGTCACCCTCTGGTCGGAGGACGCTATTGAGCAATTACAGGGCTCTCTAGCCTGCACGGACTGGGGTATTTTTCAGGGCACACTGGACGAGAGGGTATCCACCATCACTGACTACATCAAGTTCTGTATCCACACCACCATCCCCACCAGAACTGTCAAAAGATACCCCAACTCCAAACCCTGGATTACCCCCCACATAAAACATGCACTTAAAGAAAAACGGACAGCATTCAGGAATAAAGACTGGGCCACTCTCAAAATACTCAACAGACAAATAAAGAATGACATCATCAGAGCCAAAATGCAATATAAAAACAAACTGGAGCAGGAGTTTAGCAACATGAACACAAAACAAGGATTCCAGAGAATCAAGAAACTTACAGGTCAAGAACATAACCACCATCACCAACCAAGCTCGGACCCTCTTCATCTTGCAAACACCCTGAACAGTTTCTTCAACCGGTTTGACATCCATGACCACACCTCCACCTGTGAGGAACTTCTCAGAACCCTTTCCTCCCATGAACCTCACCACCCGCCCTTCACAGAGGAGGATGTGCAGCAGCAGCTGGCCAGGTGCAAAGTTGGTAAGACACCTGGGCCAGACGGCATCCCGGCAAAGGTGCTGAAGTGCTGCGCAATGGAGCTCTCTCCCATCTTCCACTCCATCTTCTGGGAATCCTACAGGACAGCAACAATACCCACCCTCTGGAAAACATCAACTATTACACCTGTACCCACGAAACCACGCCCCTCAGAGCCCAACCACTTCCGTCCGGTCGCACTCACCCCAATAATCATGAAATGCATGGAGAAAATCATACTACAACTCATCTTACCTGCTGTCAGCACACAATTGGACCCATACCAATTTGCATACCGACTGAAAAGGGGGACAGAGGACGCAGTGGCATGCCTTCTCCACTCCCTCCTTCACCATCTCCAGATTTCCCATAACTTTGCCTCAGTTCTGTTTGTTGACTTCAGCTCCGCATTCAATACAATCCAGCGCCATCAACTCATCACCCCTCTCCTCATCCACTGGATAAACAACTTTCTCAGCAACAGGCCACAGACAGTGAAAATAGGGACTACAACATCATCAACCATTATCACCAACACTGGAACCCCCCAAGGTTGCGTACTCAGTCCCTTCCTGTACACACTTTACACAAATGACTGCCAGAGTTCACTACCCAACACCACTTACTACAAATATGCAGATGACACAGCCATAGTAGGACTACTTACAGACAACAGTTCCATCACAGCCTACCACCAGTCCATCACAGATTTTGCACTGTGGTGCTCTGATAACTACCTCCAACTCAACATTGACAAGACAAAAGAACTGCTTATTCATGCATCAAAATCACCCCCTGGACTCACTCACATCACTACATGGCCAACCAGTGGCACAGGTCAGCACTTTCAAATATCTTGGTCTCACCATTGACAATAAGCTTAACTTCAATGAACATGTCACCATTACACAGAAACGTGCACAACAGAGACTGTATGCAATACGCAAACTAAGATCACTGTATGTTGCGCCCCATCTTCTTCTGCTACTCTACAAAAGCATCATCCAACCCCTTCTACTCTACTGCTCCCCCTGTTTCTTCACCATACTAAATGTCATCAGCAAGAACAAACTCATTAAAATCTCACACTTAGCATCCAAGATAATACAGCTTCCCACCCCCAGCCTCACTGATGCAAATGACACAGCCATCACACGCCTTGCACGCACCATAGTAAGCAGCCCTGACCATCCCCTGAACCGGTTCTTCACCCTACTCCCATCTGGCCGCAGATACAGAGCCCTGGACTAGAAAAAAGCGCACTTTAAGAAAAGTTTTATACCCTCAGCAATCACTGCACTTAACAAACTCCCGTGACACTACCCATTGGGGGGTGTTATATGTTATATGTTATACGTTACATGTATGAGGCTGTGTACATCCTGCATGGAATGTAACAATGACATGTGTGAAAAAGAATATCCTTATAGGACAATAAAGACTAAAGACTATAGTAGAATAAGTACCCCTTAGTTCTATAATACTTACAGTATAAATATTTGTTTATTTTTTATACTAAAAACAAATTTTTAGTATAAAAATTTGTTTATATGTAAAGTTATTCCCCAAACTTTACATATTGTTCCCTTATACTTACATGTAAGTACTTTATAGGTACACTATAATTACAGAAAGTTACACTGTAAATTCCTCTTAATTACACAGTACTTTCCGGGCTGTAATCTAAAGCGTTACCAAAATATTCAATGGCAGATTTAAGGGATTATATAGATAAGCTATATATTGCATTACAGGAATAGACACGTTTAAGGGGAAATTCTTCCACAGCCGTGACTACAAAAACCCTGAAGATTGGCGAGGGAAGAGGGTAGTTGTGATTGGCATTGGGAACTCTGGAGGAGATATTGCTGTAGAGCTGAGCAGAATGGCCAAACAGGTGATTTGCCACAACTACAGTTTAAATAATTATAGTATATGAATTATTATACTCTTATTACAGCCTCTGCATTCCACATTGTTTCCCTTACTTACTTTCCCTTAATTCTAGGTTTATCTGAGCACCCGAAAGGGATCTTGGATACTAAATCGTGTTGGAGACAATGGTGTTCCATCGGATATGATGTTTAATAATAGAATGCGTGGTTGGCTTATTCAAATGTTGCCTGTTGGTTTTATCAACAATGTGGGTGAGAAACGACTCAATAAACGGTTCAACCACAAGCTCTATGGGCTGCAGCCTGCGCACAGGTACTGTGAACACTGAAGGAAACAAGACTCTGCTGACTTTGGTCCATGAAAGTGTTAACCCTTTAACCCTTTTCATGGTGTACTATTTTTGGCTTTTGTTTATTTCCCAGAGTTTTCAGCCAACATCCCATGGTCAATGATGATTTACCAAACCGGATCCTCTCCGGTACTGTCTCGGTCAAGCTGAATGTGCAAGAGTTTCGTGGATCAAGTGTGGTTTTTGAGGATGGCACAGTTGAGGATGACATTGATCTGGTGGTGTTTGCCACAGGATACACTTTCTCATTCCCCTTCCTGTCTTCACATGTAATTCCTGTCTCAAATAACAAGGTATCCCTGTACAAATATGTGTATCCCCCAGCACTAGAGCGCCCAACTTTAGCCATGATTGGTCTGATCCAGCCTCTGGGAGCCATTATGCCCATCTCTGAGATGCAAGCGCGCTGGGCCACACGTGTTTTTAAAGGTATGAAACATGATGCTGATCTTCTACACAGAAAACTAAGAGCTGTTCTTAAAATATATGTTCATATTCATACAATTCAGAATAACAAAAATGTCTACTTATACTATTATAAAAAATTTCTATCACCAAAAAAATGTTGTAATGTAGTTTTTCATGAGCATTTTCTCTTAATCAAAGACTTTTGACAATTAGACATTGGCTTTTTCTTGTTTATGGTCTTGTCTTCGTCCTTTTGGGTTGGTTTTAAGTTCTAAAAGTTACAGTATGATGACATAGTACTTAAAAAATATTTTTCAGGATATGATTATTCTTTCAGTTTTACTTTAAAGATATATACGAACATGTCAGAAGTCAGAACATTAAGTACACAGTGTTTTGTATGTAACAAACTGTGATATGCTCACTAGGACAGTGCAAACTGCCTTCAATGAGTGCAATGATGAAGGACATTAAAGCAAAAGAGAACGAAATGACTAAAAGGTTCTTCACACTTCACCTCACATGACTATATAACACAGCATTTGCACAATTTCTACAGTTATGTAGAAATGTAATTTAAGTGTATCTTCATGACTCTTAACCATAATGTCATGCAGGTATGTGGCCGCCCAGAGACACACCATCCAGGTGGACTACATCCCCTACATGGATGAGTTGGCTAAACAAGTGGGTGTGCGTCCATCTATCCTGAAGCTGCTCCTGACAGACCCTAGACTGGCTCTGAACATCATCTTTGGGCCCTGCACCCCGTACCAGTTTCGCTTGCATGGACCGGGCCGATGGGAAGGTGCACGGCAGGCCATCCTGTCTCAGTGGGATCGAGTCACAGAGCCCCTGAAAACACGCTGTGCACCGGAGCCGCAGTCACAGCGCTCCTCTTATTCACTCTTATTCTCAGTGTCTGTTGCAGCGCTGCTGTCTGCTCTGTATTACAGCAGGGCCAGTCTGCACTCACTCATAGCAGACCCTTCATTGCTCCTCGACAAGATCAAGGCTTTTTTACCATTCCCAGTGACCACAAAGTGATCATGTAATGTGTATCAGAAACTTAACATACTTTATTTGAAATCTTATATCATAACGAGTGCACTTCGATTAGGGTAAATTATAGTCAACATCATGAAAATGTTATAATTGACGCATTACTTATATAAAATGCTTGGTACTGAATCACAGAGTGCCTTAACATTTCAAACACAGTTTCTGTATGATGAACATTTAATTTTATTGTAAAATAACTGATTTTATGTGCAGTTTTGTATGTAATTATGTTGCACTATTAAACTCTTAGTTACAAATGATATCTTACTCACTTTTGATTCGGGATCTTGCTGTATTTTAGATCTTGACACCCCATTTGCAATGACTCAACCATGTAGCTGATTTCAGGGGCCTGTGCTGGAGTGGTTCGCCTCTTACCTCAAGGAGAAAACTTTTTCTTTTAATGCAGGGAAGTGTAACTCATCCTGTGCTAAAATCTGCTATGGTGTTCCCCAGGGTTCCATTTTGGGTCCTCTTCTCTTTTCTTTATACATGCTTCCTCTAGGTCATATCATCAAGAGACACAACTTATCATATAATTTCTATGCCGATGACACTCAGCTTCATCTTCCTGTGAAAAATAATAGCTGCTCTGTGTCTAGTTTCCTTGACTGTCTGCATGACAAAATGCTGGATGGAAAAACTTTTTACAGTTAAACTGATACAACTGAAATAATAGTATTTGGCCCATCAACTCTGTCCTCTGACATTGTCAGTCAGCTTGGTCCCCTCTCTTCTAATGTGCGTGACAGTGTCAAAAACCTTGGTGACGTTTTTGATTCCACACTGTGTTTTGATAAGCAGATTAGTGCTGTTGTGAAAAGCAATTTCTTTCAGTTAAGAACTATTGCTAGAATTAAGATGATGCTCTCTGAGAATGATCTTGAAACTGTTATTCAAATTTTTATAACATCTAGGTTGGATCATTGTAATTCGGGTTTGCAATTGGTAGATCGTTTGCAATTGGTACAAAATGCGGCAGCCAGATTACTGACTGGCACTAAAAAAACGTGAACACATTACACCTGTGCTTTGTTCCCTTCACTGGTTACTGGTTAAGTTCCGTGTTGATTTTAAAATTGTGCTTTTTATTTGGCTTTGCATGGACTTTCTCCTCAGTATATTTTTGATCTCATCCGTACACTGCTTCTAGATCCCTTCGATCATCCAGACAGTTATTACTCTCAGTTCCTCGTTCACATTTTAAGACTAAAGGCCAGGCTTTCTCTGTGGATGCTCCGAGGCTTTGGAATGGTCTTCCCCTCCACATTAGATCTTCATCCGCCATTTCGATGTTTAAATCCTCTTTGAAGTTCTCTTTGCATTCTTTATATTTTAAATGAGGGTGTAAATCTTTTTTTTTAATCTTTTTTAAAACTCGTTTTAAATCTGTTTTATATATCTTGTACAGCACTTTGGTTTCAACATCTGTTATAAAGTAAAATAAACTCTTTTGTTGTGTTAAAATTATCTTAATGATGTGTCACTCCCAACTGCTGCAGTTGTTAGCATGTCTGTTTAGCATGTTCATTTACTAAAATATGATGAGAAGAATAGTAATGGCTGATTAAATTGTGTTGCCAATCAAATCTAAAAATAATTATTTTTAAAACAATGTAATTAATGAAATAAAATGCCACTTAAGTCTACTTAACCTCGGAAAGTTTTTCATTCATAAGTGCAGATGGTTTAAATCTGAACCCAACTTTAATCAGTGGATGAATGAGGTTGTTATGTAACATGATAGTGGAAATAGCACGAAGAAGGATACTCATTTTTAATGACAAAACCCAGGAACCAGGAGAACACCACACTTAACATTAACGAGAACAGACGAAGACTGAGGGAGAACACAGGGTCTAAATACACAAAGCAAACAAAAGGAACTAAATTAGATAATTAACAGGACACAGATGAAGGAGATGACTAATTTGACAGATTGGGGAGAACTGGGTCACAGGACTAAACCAAAAACACTATCAAACAAGGGAGACAGACCATACACATAACAGAGCGCCCCCTCCCAAAAAGGCGCATCCTCGCGCCATAAATAGTCCAACTGAGGAGGGAGGGGGCTCTGGAGGAGGGTGTGGAGCCAGGGTGGAGCCGATGTGTTGTCAGGCTGAGATGGAGCGATGGACACAGAGGCTGGAGGCGAAGACAGGGGATCCTCTGTGCTGGATGGAGCTGGTGGCCTGAAGAGGTGGGAGCTAGCGAGGGACTGAAGGACATCAGCGGAGGCAGGGTTGAGGAACTGGCTTATTGAGTAGGTGGGAGAGGGAATTCTGGAGACACAGGAAACACTGGAGAAAAAGGGGGCGCTGGAGAAACAGGGGGCACTGGAGATACAGGGGTACTTGTTATAAACTCCCCTCAAAAGTCAGTAAGATCTACCTAAAAAAAAAAAAGTTTAGTTCCTCAAAATATATGCCAGAGTTTAACATACACACCTTTATAGCAGTAGGGTTGTGGCTATCCTCCCAGCCCCCAAGCTCCACAATCACTCTGTAGTGTTACAAATGTTTAATTAGGTTCCATTACAATAGTATTTAAAACGTACACAGTGTTTTCCACTTTGAGGCATAGATTATGAGATTTAAAGCAAGCAATCCTGCCTGCTGACATTAACCTTTTGTCACTTCTCAAAGTACAGCTGGGCCCCTTGTGTCTCTATGATAATGTCAAGGTTTGAATGATCTAATCAGGTTGAGTGGATCACCATCTATACATGACACTGTTATGCTGATGAGATCAGGGCTGGGGAATTTCCGGTAACGAGCTGAATCCTGTGCTTCATTTACATGCTTTGTTTCAGAGTGTCTCCACCTCTATGTACTCCCTCCCTCTTGAAAGGTATATAAACTACAATATATATAATACTGCCTTAGTTAGACTTGGGAATACTACAGAGATGACTACAGCGACAAAATAAATAACTTCTGCTTAAAAGATACCTCAACGTCTCCTGGTCTGCGCTTCTGACTTTTCTACAATTTAGAAGAAAAAAGTTCACAACAACTCCCTCGACGCACGGTGTTGCCGGCTCACGCACCTTGTCGGACTTGGCAATGACGAGGCGATGACTGTCCTTATCCTCGGTGCGGTCCTGTCACTCACGGGCGGTCTCCACTGTCTGCGGTGGTCTCAAGCTGGTGGTGGTTGGCTGGTCTCTGGCGGCAGTGGTGGAGTGGGACTGGTAACGCTGTCATCCTTAGCGGAGCCGATGGCAAGTGGCGAGTTATTTACCAGTACCCACTCCACAAAAGTGGCTAAATCTTCCTTTAAAAAAATTATTATCCAACGAACTTCAATAGTATACAATATATTATACAGAATTTACATCAAAAAAAAAAAAAAAAAAACTTCCCAGAGTGTACAAATAGAATTTGGCTTGGATCTTGACCATTTCTTCTTGTGTATATGAAATTTACCCAAAATAATACAAAGCTGTACAATAAAAGTTCAATTATTATTATTATTACTTTCATTGGAATAATACATACATATATCAAAATTATTTTATTTAATTATAAAATTTGTTTTCCTTCTAATGAAATTTTCCACATCCACCCAAAAAAACTTTGTGTACAAAACAGATGGATAGTAGATTATTTTTCTATTGAACAAAAATCACATGAATAATCAATATCTAAATTAAACCTCTCTAACACACATTTAGCTGGATACATACCAAGTAAAATTTTGCTTAATTAAACAGTAAGCTTCACAAATACACCAAGCTTTATTCCATGTTTATATTTCTAAATACTGCATGGTCCACAATGAACTTTTAAAGTTAAAATATTCCTAATATGTTTATTAGTACAACTGTTTCAGAATATCAATGTCTCCTAGAAACATGCGGTCTTTAACATATATTGCCTCAGAAAAATCACTTCCACAAGTTCTTACAAAATGTATAACTTGTTTAGGTATGGCGCCAAATACAGCAGTATACTCTTTTGGAGTAACTGGAAACCCAAATTTATCCAAGAATAATAAATTACCATTCGAGTTTAAAAGTTGTCTAACTAATATAATATTATTTTCATACCAACTATTATAGAAGAGAGATTTATTTTTATATTGAATACATCTATTATTCCAAATAATATATTTATTTGGGGAAAATTTGTGCTTATACCAGCATCCAAGCCAATAAAGCTTGTTTATGGAAGTTAGCTAATTTAGTTTATCAATTTTAAAATCACATCTCAACAAAATATCTATACCGACCCAACATACCAATGTTTTGGAAATGTATACCACATACTATCCTTTTCTTTCGTGAATTTAATTAACCAATTAACCTTGAATGTACTGTTTAAAGTTTCAAAACTAAGCACAGATAATTCACCTTTGTTGTTTTGTTTACATAAAATGTCCTTTCTCAAATAATGGTGTCTATTCCTCCATAAAAAAAATAACATTAGATGTTTGTACACATTAGATGGCATATCTAAAGCTTAAGACACTGTGGTGAAAAATTAAAGCTGAATATTAAGAAAACCGTGTTTTAATATTTGACCTTGTTTAACCTGCTAAATCTCTAAAACAATGTTCTAAGACGTTCTGTATTTTACATGAATGTATGTGTGTCGAACCCCTGACTGTGTGTATAAATAACAAATATGGGAAATGAGACTAGACAGATGAATAAGTTAGAACTTGTGATCAATGAAGTAATCGTTAAAAAAATATTACCCAGTAACAGAAGGAATAACCAATCAAATTAATGTCATTATGCCATACCTCCCTATTGTATAAAAACTGTTGTTTCCGTGTTTTCGGTGGGATTCTCAATGGAAATTGTCTGAGATCCTCCGGCCTTGTTTATTCTTGGGAGATTCTCTGAGAAATGCTCGAGAACTCCTGGCCGTAATAAAGAACATTTAAAGGACAATTACTCAAGTCTGTCTGTCATTAAAGCTGCGCAGCAAGAGAACAAGTAAGTTAGATTATCGGCTCTGGACGCTGTAGTCGACTGGAGACTCGCTGGAGATTTAGACGGATGCTGTAGTCGACTGGAGACTCGCTGAAGTAGCTATAGTTAGGGATCGGATGCTGTAGTCGACTGGAGACTCGCTGATGTGTGAACGTAGCTAACGTCATTAGACGCGCTAGCGTATAAGTTATACTAGAATAGTTAGTCTTAGGG